AAAAAAATAAATATATATATATATATATTTTACAATTATTTAGTCTGACCTTGCAGAAAGGGGAAAGAATATAAATATAATGAACAACATAACTGAAAAAATAAATATGGAAATAAAAATAACTGGAAATTCCACTGCAATTGTACAATGACTTTTATATTTTTTAAACCCATAAACAGAGAATGCCAAATATATGCTCATTTACTGTATCTTCACAATGAAATTTCCTTTCTTTTGCTCTGAGCTGTCCAATGATTACATGCATGCTGTAACGTCTGTGTTTACTGAGGAGACAGATCTTCCAGCTCATGCCTATACTTTGGCATGCTGAGTCAGCACTTCACTTTAGCACATGCTCAGACTGAATCTGAGCCACAGATCCATGCAGATGGGATGCGAGCATGCCACAGACGACTACACTCAATCACTCTACTGCTTTACCTTTCTCCTCCTCAGACAGCTCCACTATAGGATCCAGTTTGTGGACTGAGCTGGACTGCTCTAATAGGACAGTGCAAAGAGGTCAGAGAAGAGTGTAAGGGTTACGGATGGACATATTCAAATCTAACCCTTAGCCTAAACCTCTCATTTTGCACTGATATTACCCATACTGACCATATGCTGATTAAATCCAATTCTGTTAGTGCATGTACATTAGATTTGAAGCCATCTATATGCTAATGTTCATATGTTATGTTAATGTTCATACACTACAGTTCAAAAGTTTGGGGTCAGAAAGTTAAAAAACAAAATAATATTTTTGTTCAGCAAGGAAGCATTAAATTGATCAAATGTGACAGTAAAGACATTTATAATGCCATCAAAGAATCCTGAAAAGTAGAATGGTTTCCACAAAAAGCTGCACAACTGTTTCAAAACTGATAATAATAAGAAATGATTCTTGAACACCAAATCAGAATATTAGAATAATTTCTGAAAGATCATGTGTCACTGAAGACTGAAGTAATGATGCTGAAAATTCAGCTTTGTATCACAGAAATAAATTACATTTTAAAATATACTAAAACAAAACAATTATTTAAAATGGTAATAATTCACAATATTACAGTTTTTATTGTTTTTTTAATGTAAAAAAAAAATGCAGCCTAGGTGAGGAGACTTCTGTCATAAACTTTAAAAACTTTGCCGACCTCAAACTTTTGACTGGTAGTTTAGCATCAGGTCTGACACCTTGTTCTAACTAGCTGTTACACATCAAGTTCAAGTAATATGTCTGTCCTCATTGACAGTGAATTGCTGAACGAAGCAACAAAATCACAGCAAATCAGAATATATTTAATGTTTAAAATACAGCATGATTTTAGACTAATGCAATGTCGCTTCACAGCATGACACATGTTTTGGCATTGTTCTGATCTTGCTTTTTGGTAATAAAGCAACACGTAGATCCTCTGCTCCATAAGCCTGACATTACAACATGCAAAACCTTTGATAGTTGCTTTTAAATTTTTTTTATTTATTTCTTAAAGATTTATTGCATCATACCTAGTTAGGTCACAGTGTGAGAACTGTGATCTACATGATGTTCAGGGATCAATATTATTTTGGCATTATCTAACACCATCATATTATGCAGAGACTTACCACTGAGCACCACTTTAGCTTTAGTCTCTGGAGCCGGGGCAGCAAGCACTGAAACAAAAATATAAATATAAAACAAAAATTGATTAAGATTTTTTATTTTTATTTTAAAGACAATTCGTCTCTCATATATTAAAAAGTTCGGTTACAGTTTTTTAAATTTGCTTTGGTACCATTTTCACAAGTAAGGTGTATATTTTCAAAACTCTTAGTACAAAAATCCAAACTGATCGCTAGTCATTCTTTTAAAAACTGATCTCATGCTTTCATTACAATTACACATATTTTCATCCACGCAATCATTGTTTCAAAACATAAGATTATCGTAATATATATTGAGAACATTTGATTTAACCACCGAAACACAACAGTATGATCTTCATTCAATTCAGTACTTTTAACAATCAGTTCATTCAATGCAATGCAATATACATGTTTCAAATCACCTTTGTTGCTGAAAAATTACAGTAATACAGGCAATAATTGTCATGTTAGAAAATACACTTACATTATCTAACTTGCATAACTCACATAAAATCCATGTTTGTAAAAGTGTATATCCAGTGTGTTATCAAAAGGTGTGATGGAGGTATGACATGGCCATAAGGTTTTGTGCTAGAACAGAGTTTACCCTCAATGCAGTACAGTAAATTTCCTCACTGTGCCATATGACTGACTCTATGCTATAGCTGAACTCTTCAGCATTGTTTCAAAACATAAGATTATCGTAATATATATTGAGAACATTTGATTTAACCACCGAAACACAACAGTATGATCTTCATTCAATTCAGTACTTTTAACAATCAGTTCATTCAATGCAATGCAATATACATGTTTCAAATCACCTTTGTTGCTGAAAAATTACAGTAATACAGGCAATAATTGTCATGTTAGAAAATACACTTACATTATCTAACTTGCATAACTCACATAAAATCCATGTTTGTAAAAGTATATATCCAGTGTGTTATCAAAAGGTGTGATGGAGGTATGACATGGCCATAAGGTTTTGTGCTAGAACAGTTTACCCTCAATGCAGTACAGTAAATTTCCTCACTGTGCCATATGACTGAATCTATGCTATAGCTGAACTCTTCAGATGAAGGGTGAGTTATAGTAATGTGCAGACTCTACCATGGTAATGTACAGTATCAATATATATGTCTATATACAGTATCAAATGACAATGTATTGTAACATGCTGTATTTGATACCATCTGTCTCCCTTCTTCTGATACATCTCTGATCAGTTCCTCTCCCTTGTATCCTGCTGTATGTTCACAAATTACAAAACACAGTCTTACAAATGAGGACGTCTTCAAAGATAGGTTTTGGGTGATTTTGTCAGGTTTCACTCACTTCTGGGTACCAATTTGTCTCCAAAATATGGTTAAGTAGGAGTACACACACAGACACACACACACACACAGGTATTCCTATCATTATGTTGACATTCCATAGGAATAATGGGTTTTATACTGTACAAACTGTGTATTCTATCCCTTTAGACTAACCCTACTCCTAAAGCTAACCTTACGAAAATTATGTTTTTTACTCATAGGGTCCAAAAAAAATAAATTCTCCCACAAAAGTTTGATAGTAAGAGCTTTATGAAAGGCTGTTACTGTGAATGAAATATTTATATAGATGAAACACTTATTTTATGTAGTGAAAAGGACACTTTGTGATTGTGTGACAATTTAAAATATGCTGAAATGTTTGAAAATAAGTGCACTTTTGATGATCTGTTGTGATATTAGCACTAAGAATTTTGAAAATGTAACAGTCGCTTGTGAAAACAGTACCAAAGCGAATATAAAAAAAAACTAAGTTTGTCCAAAAATATAATGTCTACATACCTTCACGCTGCACTGTTATTGCTGGTGGCTTTGACAAGATCTGTTTCATCTGTCATATAAACAAAACTGCACGTTATTTCTTATAACAATAAAACCCAGTCAGCAACACGTCATCTGAGCCGTCACTTCAAATTGAAATGTTTTACTGAAAGGACATCCTGCATAATGACGAGCTGACAACATATAATCAGTGAGATGATAATGACACAAACGTCCGGATATTTTCCCACCAGTACACTCCTTCAGTCCAAACCTAAAGATCATGCTGTGGGCTGCTGCGCTAATACAGGAAATCCTGAACAATCGAGCCACTTCCTGTGCTGGGATACAGTACTGACCTGCTTGTTTTGGGAGGCAATAATCTGCTGCTGCTCCTGCAGCCTGTGGCTCAGCTCCTGCACCTGTCGTCGTGATTCCTCCCTCCCTTCAGACACGGCCGAGCGCAGTTTGAACAGCTCCTCCTGAAGCTGATGGACCAGATAAAACAGATATGTGGATATATGAGCTATTCCTGTATTTAAACAGCTACATGCTGCCTGTGACACCTACCAGACTTTTTTCACTGTCATGTTCCTCCGTCATTTTTTGCATTTTCCCTGCCCACTTCACTTCCTGAGTGAAGAAAAACATCAGCTTTAAAACTACAGCAATTTCCATTCTAAGGTGTGGTGTACTGGACTGTCCCAAATCAAATGAATGCTGCATCTCTTACTTGTTTATGGAGTTTTTGTTGAAGTTTAACAACTTCCTGCCAGTGTTCATTGCTGGCTGATGTACTGGGCTGTGGCTGTACCAGCTGCATATTTTTCTGCTGTAATTTTAGCAGCTCCTAGGGAGAGAGAAGTACCATTTTAATGCCATTTCAGTATATACACATCACATAATATCAATACTTCCATCAATTTTTGCCTTTTTGATCAGTGTATTTTATCCTTTATAACAATGTTAATTTACAGTTTTCCTTATTCGCTTTGGTTCTATTTTCACAAGCAACTGTTCAATTATCAAAACTCTTAGTACTAATATCAGATCATCAAAAGTGCACTTTTTTCAAACATTTCAGCATATTTTCACTTGTCTTAGTACAATACACACAATCATTTGGTGCATCTATAGATATAGATTCAATAGATATAGTTTCTAAAGAACTTGTTTGCAATTTAGGGATAACCAATTGTATTACTTGTGAAAATAGCACCAAAGGGAATAAAAACAACAACTGTAAATCCTGCAAAGTTTGTCAATCCAGCATATTATATAATATTATAATATATAATAGTATAAATGTTACTATTTTAATAAAATAATTTGATATTATTAATTTGGAGCAACATAAGGTTGAGTAAATGATGACCAACATGCTTTGTCTGAAATAAAAACATACATTTTCTAGGTTTCTGTTCTTTTGATGCATTGAATCCATGTCCCGCTGACGGGCTTGCTTGACTTCATCTATTTTGCCGTTCATTCGCATTTTCTCTTCTTCTTTCCATATTTCCAGTTGTCTCTTAAACTCTTCCTGCCTTTGAATGAGCTCTTTCTCCTGGAGAAAAATGAGTTTGAAATATTTATTTCAAATAGCAAATCATTCTATTAAAAACATGGTGTGTCTTTTGTCTCCTCTAACCTGTTTAGCAGTGTAGTCTTTCTGCTGTGTCTCCATTTGGGATGTGACCAGGGTCAGCTGCTCTTGTAGTTTGTTGATCTCCTCTTGTAACTTCATGGTCTGAATTTTTTTCTGATTATCTGTCGTCATCAGTTCTGGAAAAATGAGATGCTTGAATCACCCTTGTGAAAAAATTGTGTATTGAAAGAGCACTTGTAGAAATCATACAAATATATTTTAAAAAATTGTACATGCAGATAAATAAAAGGCCAGTTAAATGTACTTAGAGTACACTTTCAAGACTATGTTTCTGAACACACTTAAGTACACTTTTAAAAAGCGCACTTTGTAATGATGAAAAAAACAAACAAAAAAACAGATTTAAAATAATTTTAAATCGTTGTTAAATCATGTTGTAATATTTTGTCATGCTTTATAGAAGTACACTTATTTTGAAGTGTGGACTAACATACTAAAGCACATGTAAAGTACTAGATTATAATTTTAACTGTAGTATTATATAATTTTAAAATTTAAAGTTGATATATTTTAAGTGTACTAAATAACTTTATCATTACAAATGTGTAATTACAAATATATTTAAATATAACAAGTTCCAATAGAAAAGACAATAAAGTATATTTTAGTTTACCATGAATACTTGTCAGTACATTTAGCTGTACAATTTAACCATATTTCAAAGACCATAGAAGCTATTATAAAATTACATATAAAGATGTACTTACAGTCTACTGTATATAGTCTACTTCTATAGTATATATAGTAGGTCAAAAACACTATAAAGTTCAGCTTATTGCATTTAATATAAATGTATTTATTACAAATAGTAATGATAAATGATACTACAGTATATTTGTATTATAAAAAACGAACACATTTTCATTTAATTCCAATTAACATGCAGTTAAGAGTCTGAAAACATTACATTAAGTTAGCATTCTTTTAGAGCATGTTATTTCCATAAATCCTTATTAAAGGTATGCCAAAGTGTACTTCTCCACAAGGGCAAGCAAAATACAACAGACACACATTGTGAACTGATTCTACACAGTTTGAACTCACTGATGTCAAACTCCGTAGGATGTCTGCGCTGCATGTGACTTTGCAGGAAAGAGGCATTCATGAAGGCTTTCTCACAGTGTTGGCACTGAAAAGCAAACAAAATCAGGAGCTTTATTAATATCTGTGACATCATCAAATCTGTGAAGATAAATACTGATGGCTTTTTCTTAGGTGCCTTGCTTCTTTTGTATTATTCCATTGAAATAAGAAAGTCATATAGGTATGTGAGGGTGAGTAAATGATGACAGAATTTTTATTTTTGAGTGAACTTATTTCTTTAACGGTAATGAAACCAAGTGGGTTGAAAAAAGCAAATGTGCCTGGGAGAATCGTTGCTGAAGGTCAGATTGAACACGAGCCCCGCTCAGGTGACGAGCAGGTGTTGGTGCAGCTCAACACAGCTGTCACTCACACTCCACTCACCAATAATACCAAGAGACAATGTGGGCACGTTGCCATGGAAACACCGGTTAGTGCAGGGTTGATGTTACATCTTTTCCCCGCTCTATCTCTCGCTCCAATTCACGGATATGCGGAAAATCCACAGCGCTGCACATCATACACCCCATTTAGCAGCCAAAACACCCGTCTGGTACTCTCATGCTAATTTAACCACACTGCCACTGATACCCATCACAAACAGAAGCTCTGCATTTGTCTTTTTATCTGCAACAAGACAGGGAAGGCTGTCTCTGTAAAACACCCACTGTGTGACATAACTGCATTGCTGCACTAACATAACTTCCCAAATCAACTGTGAAATGCAATTATGTGTTTAGGGTCTACTGGTGTCAATCTGCAGCCTCAGCAGGTGTTGAACAAAGACCAAGACAATGTAATACAGAACTGGAGCAGACTCTAGAAAACTGTAAAAAATATATCTGGGTCCAATTTCACCTCAAAGTCAAAGGAAAAATATCTTTTTCAAAGAGAAAATTAAGGATATTTTAAGAACAAGTTTTTTTTATACACGTTTAAAACACCCTCATGCAGTCACAAACTATTATGTGAAAAAAATAAAGAATTCTCATAATTGTACGTTTATATTATGGTAGTAATATTATGGTTTTGTATTTATGCTGATTTTATTTGAATAAAAAATAATTTAAATAAAATAACATTATTTTGTCTGAAGAGGATTTTAATCTGTATTACAGTAATAATATCAAGTTTTGTTGCGAATTTATATTATACGAAATTATTATAAATTATATATAGAAATTTTATTTTGCTTAAATAATATTTTTCCCAATTTTGACATTTTCATGACATTTCCCCCTCGATTCTCTCAATTCATATGCAAAAATATCTCACTCTCTTTACTGTAATACAAAATAATTAGACATTTAATATATATTTAAATGCTGTTTTTGCATTGTGTAATATTTGTTGCACTGCCTTTAGCCTTTGCCTTTAATTTATGCACATTTAAATAAAAAATATATATATCAGTAAACAAAAGAGAATCATTACAAAAATGAAAATTATTGGCGGAAATGTCACTATAATATGTGACTCTGGACCACAAACCCAATCATAAGGGTACATTTTTTGAAATTGAGATTTATACAGCATCTCAAAGCTGAATAAGTAAGCTTTCCATTGATGTACGGTTTGTTATGATAGGACAATATTTGGCCGAGATACAACTATTTGAAAATCTGGAATCTGAGGGTGCAAAAAAATCTAAATATTGAGAAAATCACCTTTGGACAGTTGTCCAAATGAAGTTCTTAGCAATGCATATTAGTAATCAAAAATTAAGTTTTGATATATTTACGGTAGGAAACTTACAAAATATCTTCATGGAACATGATCTTTACTTAATGTCCTAATGATTTTTGGCATAAAAGAAAAATCAATAATTTTGACCCATACAATGTATTTTTGGCTATTGCTACAAATATACCCCAGCGACTTAAGACTGCTTTTGTGCTCCAGGGTCACATATCACAATGCAAAACAATCTTACTGGTACTTAAAATAGGCCTCATTGTATTTATGCAAAATACAAATTAGGTAACCACTTCATTGCTCACAGTTAAAAAAAACACTTGATCCAGTAAACCATTAAACAGTAAACCATGAGCAGCACTTTCATTTCGATTCTGCTGTCAGGCGCCTGTGCTTTTCCTAGCAACCACATGAAACACTTGGCAACAGCTGGCCGCAATCAGGAGCGACAGTTCCATGATTGCAAATGAGCAAACAGCTGATATAGCCATGGTACAAAGACCGAAATGTTTCTAAAAGCAATGCAGCATGCGGTTTTATTTCATTGATGAGATGAGTGGGAGGGGATGATGGGGGATGGGCGCTTTGATTTCTTTCCTCCACTTAAGGATCTTTTATAAGTGTAGTGTAGTTTATAAGTCATTGTCACTAGCTGACACCATCTGCTCCATTCGCCAAATCCTGAATGCCGTGTCCAAAAAACACAGCGTCTGGTGATTAGCTAATCCTGTCCCGGTCTGCAGGCCTGATTATGGACTTAAAAGTGTTGACATCACATCTACTAGATAAGAAAAGCGCATACTACACTAGTGATGGTAATGCACATACTTTTAAAGACGCCATGAAATCAAAATGGGTAGTTTTCTAGCTTTTAGTCCATGTCTGTTAGCTTTTTTTCTGCATGCAAAAATACTGATAAAGATTTTTTTTTTTTACAGATATATGCATTTTAGTATTAGTTACATATTACTATTGTATTTATTTATATTTTGGATGAGATATTTTTAGATTTAAAAATGTTTATTTCAATTTTAGTTTGTTTTAGTAATTTTATGTGCTTTCAATTTTTATTAGTTTTTAAAAATATATATTTTTTTATTTAGATTTAATTTAATTTTTTGTAATTTTAGTACTTAAAATGACTTAACTTAAAATTATTTTATTTCAGTTCATTGCCAGTGCATTTCTAATTTCCGTTTCAGTTTATGTTTCTCATCTAATATTAATGTTTTATTTCAGCTTTATCTCAATTAACGAAAATTAATTTAAATAAATAATGATTTTAACAATAACTAACACTGATCAGAGGATAGTATGCGAATTGGGATTCAGCATTAATGTTGCACCTTCACACCATCAAATGTGAGAAAAGCACACGTTATATTCACCGGGGTCAATGAACTGTGAGACTGGGGTGGAATAGAGTCTGGCCTTGAGGGGGGAGGTGACAGCGACAATGAAAATGCTAATACACATATTCACACTCCACCACGGGGCTGTACAGACCTTGTGGTAATTGGCACTGATCCCCGTGCTGAACATGGCTTGCTGAGAGGCTATGATCTTCTTCCTCTGCTTCAGCTCCTCCTTTAACGTCTTGGCATCCTGGGTTTTTTTCTGCAGCTGGATGCAGAGCTCCTCCCTTTCCCGTGTCTGCGCCTGCAGCCTCTCCTCGGCCGCCTGCAGGCTGATGCTGAGGCAATCCTGGGAATGCAGCAGGTACTCCACGGTTAGCTGGGCCAGCCGGAAGAGCTTAATCAGGGCCGGGTCCACGGGGCTCTGACAGCGGTGGCAGCGCTCGCCCTCCACGTCGCAGAACGTCACCTCCGTGATGTGCTCCTGTAGGGTGTGGAAGTCCAATTCGGAAGCCACCCGGTCCACCTCGACGGCACTGATCCGACGCCAGTCCACATTCTCACGCCGGGCTCGGAACTTGAAGGGCGTAGGGATGCCGGTGCTGGTGGCGGCTCCGGAGGACGTAAGCGGTCCGGACATGGTGGATGCGGCCGGTCTGCTCAGGCTGCCGGATGAGGGCTGACTCTGCGGAGAGCTCAACAGAGACGGGATTCCTGCTGAGGAATGGGCTCCCGGGGGATCTGACGGGTACGGGTAGTAAACGTTGTCATAAAATGGCTGCAGGGGGAAACAAAGAGCTAGGTGAATTCTTCAAAAAAGAGACATGTATTCCAGCAACGTGTCATTTAATTAAAAAAGGCCACACGTAAAAAACATTCCTGATTGATTCCACCACTGCAAGCTAATAGTTACCAGCTAACAGCAACAACACAGGTCCACATGGCTACGAGCGTTCATTAAACAGGTTAAATGCGCGAATAAAACGAGTAAATCGTCGATGTATGATAAATTCCACCTTATTTTGCTGATTCGTGCTGTCGCTTGTCTCCTTACCATCTTGCGGTTTTTGTGAAGTCTTGATGAATGATCGGAGCGGCGCGCAGCACAGCAGTATCAGGGCGTCCTGTGCGTTTCTATGGAAACAAGAGCACAGCACACTGCACGAGAACAGAAAGGAAGAGCACGTGCACGTTAAAGGTCTTTTACGTTTCACCTGTTAATTTGTCACTCAAGAAGACAGATCGTTTTTATCACGTGGCATTTCATAAAATTGACTGTTCTTTATTTGATCTTGAACAATGTTCTATAAAAAATATAAGGATATAACGTTACTCCTAATCATCAGATTACAGTTTATTTCAAAAATGCATTATCCCAAAATAACCACTTCACATACAAGGTGCATATTTCTTGTTCATGACTACGTTTGAAAACTATTTAAAACGACTGGAACGCGAATATATGTTTGCTTTAATCCAGCTATATAAATACTTTAAAGAAAACGAAGCTTATTTCTGCATTGTGAACTAATTTCATGACAATTTTTATTTACATCGGCATTGAATTAAATGTAGTGAAACGCCATATACTAGGCCATTTTACTATTAAATCTTTTTTTTTCACTTTACAGCAATTAAATTATTTTTTAAGGTGATTAAAATTTGTTAGGTTTAATGTCACAATGCAACAAAAAAATGTAATATATTTTAGATAAATATTAATATCTTAATAATCTTAAATAGGTTTCATTGCCTTCATGGAAAATATAAAACGTATTTGTTTATTTTTCATTTTTTCGTTTGATCTAAAAGTGAAATGTGACCTGAAAGACTTATTTTCATGAGTTTTGACCATTTTCTTTTACACAGACTGAGCTCGAACGTCTCTCTTGAGCATTTCAACGGTCTTCTTCTCAGATTACTGGCCCTTCAACACATCTCAAGTTGGGACAAGCTCAGTTCCGAACAAAAGGGGGACTCGTGCATGAGAACGGTACAGAAAGAATGGTTAAACCAGAAGGAAAAGTCTCAATATCAATTCAATAAAACGGAGAGAGTGATAAATATAACGTGAAGTTCGTTTTCAGCCATTTTCACAGCAAACCAAAAAGTTTTAGCGACTCACCCATCGGCCGCGGAGTAACGGGAAGGACAGATGCAATGGCTCTTACCTCTCGGCTACGAAGTTTTCGCAAACAATCCATGCAGAAGAAGGTCATCCGAAAACCCGCTTTACCCGTGCGCTGCGAATCAAACAGACGCTACACGGCTGCGGGAAACTTTAACACAGGCAGACGCAAGCCCAACAAAATGATTCCCCCAAAAGGGTGAGATCCAGAGCGCCGTGACGTCACAGCGCATTCCTGGCGCGAGCCTCATCTCATCTCTGGGGCCCGAGGAGGGGGAAGGGCGTGCGTCCCACAGGAACATCCACAGGCCCCACAATAAACCTGCTGCGGCCCTAAATCATAACTTTTATTGACTACCAGATAATTAGAAATATTCTCATGCAATTCAACTTTATTAATACCTGATTATTTCCACAATAATAAGAAAACAAATGATGCCAAAAAGGAACTTAAAGGCACAATGTAAGATTTTTTTTAATTAAAATATCCAAAAACCACTAGAACAGTGTTATATATTTTGCTGACTTGTGTACTTACATTATCCCAAATGTTTCGAAGAATGTTTAAATCCAGAGAAATAAGCAATTTTAACTAGTGACACGGAGCGTGTCTATGGTGTCATTGTGTCGCCTGCCAATGACGTCATAACCCCTCAATTTCCGGTTTTGTTTTGTAGAAAACATGGAAAAACCAAAGACGCTTTAATATG